TTTGGAAGAAGAAATTAGGGAGTTTAAGAAATGACCAGAATGTTTCCTAAATTTTGAAGAAACTAAGAATAGCTTAATACTGTGGATCAAATTATACATGTCTACAATCACAAGGAAAATATTGATTGATTTGATTTGATCAATAGAGCAAAAGAGCCTCTTAAAAGTTGCTCTATTGATCAAATCAAATCAATCAATATTTTCCTTGTGGTTAAACTGTAAAACATGCAACATCTACAAGATGAGAGACTGATACAATTTCACTTTCTATATCTCTTAATCTGTCACTAAACAGGAAGAAAGTAGCTTCTATGTTGATATTTGATCAGCATGGACTCTTTCTTATTAATCTAGCTAATAGATGAACTTTATTTCTATACTTCTTCAGAAGAGGGAACTCTATACACAGGATGCAGTTCTGCTGTCTGATCTCATATGGTCCCAAATTTTGGAGAAGCCTTATCTTATTGTGGAAATGGAGACTTTTTCAAGTCAGACTCCATTCTCAGAGAATCAGTTTAATGATTATCTTAACTGTTTTGTATCATTTTAAAGTTTTCTTCAATAGGATTAAATAGGTAGAATATGAAGAAAGGAAAAGGTGACCTAATCATATCTTGACCCATGCCTTTAAAAATAGCATTTGTTTTTGTTCTTTATAATGCCATTTGCATTTCTCTATACTATTGACATTAATTCATTTCCATTAGAGCTCCAATCACAACAGTTTGTATCTATGTGTCTTAGAGCTGCTCTCTTTTATCTGTCCAGCTGTCTTTCTGTCAACTTTCCTATTTTTCACTCTGCTGGAGGGTCTGCTGGCTGACAGATGTCAATTTGCAATAACTAAAGCATGTAGCTAACAGATAAAATTGAGCTGATAATAGGTTGCAAGCTTACCCAATGGCTGAATGGTCAAAATATTGAAAATGTGCACTTTTTAAATTTAATTTCAATGTATTTTTTATGCTGTAGTATAAACAAAAGATATCCATACTTTCTGAAAGAGAAAAGAATCCCAGTCTCCTGGTTTAATGGAGTCAGTTAATCACCATTTTTATAACATATTTTTTTATACAGCTGGGTTGTCTTCATATTGGAAAAAAATATACGCTCCTAAAGATATTAGACTGAGAACTTTAACTTGGAAAATATGCAATAAACACCATATACTTAGAATAGATATTTTATCAAATCAAATTAATTCATAACTTAACCATATGTAAATATTTAAAATATAATTGTAAAGGGGGAAAGAGTTGACTAAAGAACTGAAATCAGAAATACACAAAATGTTACATCTTTATAAAGAAAAACAAAGGGGAAATTAGAAACTAATCATAATCATCTATTATGATTTTACCTTTTGGGGGGCAGATTCTATAACAACAAATTGTAGAATCTGACACAGCTCAGAGATTCAAATCCTTTCTCATGTTAAAATAATCTAAATATTCAAATTAATATGAATATTCCTTTTTATGGTTAATTGTTCATCAACAATATATTCAGTATTAACTGTACAATATTGGTAATTCCTTCGTATGCCTATTGATATTATATTTCCATATCATTTTTTCTTTTCTCTTTCCTTTCTTTTTATTGCTCTTTTCTTCTTTTTTAAAATGATTAATAAATATTTTTAAAAAATATATACAATTAAATATCTTTATACTGATTGTCCCTGATCCTATATTGATGGATTGTTTATCCCAGAACCATCACATAAGAATAAGAAACAAAGTAGTCAGCTGAAAAATGTAGCAGCCCATAGTACTATGGTGTTTAGTAGTTTTATGAATAGTGGTATGAAAATCTACTGAGAAGTCCAACAAGATCAAGACTGGAATTATATTACATCACAGGTGATCCATATTAAAGACCAATGTGATTTTGTTAACATATCTGGATATGCAAGTTGACTGGATAGATATTTCATTTCCTTCAGGGCTTCTTACATTTGTAGACCCACCACCTTTTCACCTTAAAAAATAAGAGAAAAAATGAGACCAGGTAGTAGTTATCTAGTATTGGTACCCTGATAAAATAAAATAAAATTTTGAAGTCTGCTTACTGGAACAATAGGAGCAGCAACTCAGCTATGGCTGTATTTCAGTCACATTAAGTTTCTCAATTTGAAAAACTTAACTACTTATTCCATTATTGCATATACTGATTCCCTTTAATTATTTGTATTTATAGTAATTAAGGCCTCGGGTGGATAAGTATTGTGTAGAAATAGTCATCATTGCATTGCGTAGGTGATAATTAACAAATCCAAGTAGATTTATATTTTATTTTACTACATATGTAAATAGTACATAAGTCTCAAAAAAGTGACTCTTTGCATCATGTTACTACAACAATATGAATACTTGAAATATTATAAAATAATAAATATTTTGGTAATCTTTAAACTATTACAATGCAAATTTCTCAGTTCCTTTATAAATAAAATGTTATATTTTAAAAATATAGATGTGTAGAGATAGTAGAGAGGGAGGGAAATCTTGGGCACCATCAGTCATTGACTACAAATTAATTCTTGCCATGATATTCATAAACAAACATCTCTGCCATAATATTCTTGAACAAATATCCAAAATTAAATTTTCTAATTTTCTAGTTTGGAGGCACACAAAACTTTCTTTACACATGTTAAAGAGATACAAAAGAGATATACACAGAATATAAAATAAATGAGACTTTTATATTATAATGGATAAAAAGAAACAGATTGAAGGGGTGAGGTTGTGGGTGTAATATTCAGGAACTTTTTCTCAGAAATAAAATGAGACACACACTCATAGTTAATGGTTGACAACCAGTTCCAAAGTCACTTGCAAAATGTTGGGTAAAAAAATAATCTTTCTCTCAGTCCTATCCCAGGCAGAACTGAACACTAGATAAGGACTAATTGGTACCACAAGATGGATTAGTGGAAAAGTTCGTTGAGTAAGAACCTAGAGTCTAGGAGGTGTTCAAATGTAATCCTGTCCAAAATTGCCAATACTTCCATTCAGGAATCTTAACTGCTCACCCAAGACTCATGAAATCTTCAAGTATTCTCAGGAAACTAAGTGGATCCAGCATGTCCTTAGTTTTTCTGAAGATCCTTGAGAATGAAGCATCAGAACAAATACTTAGTGTGCTGATGGAGAAAGACAAAGTCCAACTAAACCCATGTACAACTCATACTAGGGCCTAATCTTTGGTCATATAGGTGGCAAAATGTGATTATTTTTATGCTTCTATTGCACTGCAAAATGCCATCCAATAGGTCTTTTTAAGATAACCTGGTTTCTTATGGGATCTGAGGAACAGAAAGAACATTCAAAACAGTGCTGTGAAGTCTTGGCTGATGTAAAGCTCCCTTTATCCCCCTTTTAATTAGACTAATAAAAACTATGATTAGACTAATGAAAGATTAAATTAATAAAGTCCTGAGACCTTTATGATACAATTCAAAATAATGCATGTAGTACTATTTTATTATGCTTATTTTCCCCCTCCCCAGGTAACTGGAGCATTAAAGAGCAGAAATTATAAGATGGTAAAATTGATAGTTTCAGCATAATTAATGAACTGAAATTTGAAAACTAAGTATTTAATATTCAGTCAAAGACTTCAATATAATACTTACTATGTGGTCACTAAACAGCCTGACTTGATTCTGAACAATTTATAAAATGAGCTGTTATTACCACATGTAAGATAAGAAATTCTCATCATCCAGTAATAGTTTGCTTTGCAAATTGAATTTAAATACATTTCTTTTTATCTGAATTTGCAGTTCTCTCTAATACAGCTGTAGTCTTTGCGGTTAAGCTCATAATATTAGCCTACAGTTTTCATTCTTACAGATTTTCTCTTGAGTCTTTTTTCATAAGAGAAACCCTAACTGCCTGTTCTTACATCAAAGCAATTAAAACAGCACTGTGTGTTAGATATTTTTCTTCACTTGCTTCCTATAATATCTTAATATATAAGCAATATAAACAATATATATTCCCATTCATTATACCTTTGAAGCCATGAATCACAGGCAAATTATCTTTATGCCTTCTTCCAAGTGAAGCCAGTTTTTAGCCCTTTCTGCCCCTCCCCCACAAACCATTGGGTACCTTTTTCAATATCAGTACTGCTGACAGGATCGGTGTAATTTTCAATTTTGGAGAAAATGGTATTATGTGAATATTTGTGTGCTGTTTCTAAGTTCAATATATACTGTAATTTTTTTCATACTATTCTTTTAAGCATATTTCAACATGCCTTTCAACAATACAGACTTTAAAAATTGGAGTATTATATCACAATATTGGGAACAGTGTGAAAACCAAAAGAGAATCACATTCTCATGCATATATTAGTTTAAGAATTGAGAATTAGGTGGGTTCCTATTAAAATACAAACCAAACATATTTCACTTTCTTTTCAATTGGTAGGGTTACTCCAAACCCTTCTCAGTATAGCCTATTCAATGTCTGTAAGCATGTTAAAACCACCTTATCTTTTATATTCAGTGTGAAATATATCCAGAGTAACCAGGCTATTATAAGATGCTATATAAATAGACTGCTGGGTTTGGAAACAAGACCCAGTATTTGTTTAATGTTCTGACTTAGATCACAAGTTTTTAAAAAGGCTATCTCACAAGATTGCCTTGAGGATATAATGTAACTTGAACTGTTATGGAAATTATAAATGGTGTACATAATGCATAGTAGAGTAAATGCTTATATATTCCTGTATTGCTGTCTGGTGTCATGCAAAATGAACAGATAAAAATATTTCTTCTTCTCAAAGTGCCACCATTGTAGAACAGAAATTTTATTTCAAGCTTACTAAACTATTCTACTAATCTCAGCAAGATCTTTTTAATAAATCTGTTTTTTGTTTGAGCCTGTAGCTGGCCTCTTGGAGGACTGTAACTTCTCCTTATATGTATTGCTCAAAAATTGACTTCTATTTGGTGTTGGTTTTTTTGTTTTTTTTTTCAGCTTCAGATATAGCAGCAGAACAAGGGCAGATTCTGGTCATTGCCACAGCTGCTGTGGGTGGATTCACTCTTCTAGTCATTCTCACTCTTTTCTTCCTCATTACTGGAAGGTAATATTGACATTGCAACTCTTCATGGAACCAAGTATCCATGTGCCATTCTAAAGTTTAATCTCTGGTCATAATAAACTAAAGTAACAAAGATGTCATTTTTATATAGATGACAATATTAAAACTATATTGCATTACTTACATAAGATTAAAATTATATTGCATTACTTACATAAAATGATGATAAACAAATCGCACAGCGCCTGACCATGTTGCTGAAGCTTCAAAATGCAACCGAATATCTTCTCTTGACTGCATCATAAACTATTATTACCATTTGGTGGTAACAGATCAAAGATCTGTGTAAATGCTGGAAAAATAAGGGCTTTACAAAGGAGTGGGTGAGAGTTGAATAAAATATTAGGCACTTGTGGCAACCTTGTATGTCTCTTAAACTGAAATCTAGGAAAAAAATAGCTTCTGTGTTTCTCCAAACTGGTTCTGAAAGGCAGAGGAAGCTGATAAATATTTAAAGAATTTTTGCACCCACTGAAGAGAACTTCTCCTCAGGAAAAATGATATTAATTTAGTAAAAAAATATGGAATATTTATCTTCTTATCAAACCTAAGGTGATTTCATTGTTTAAAAAATATCAAGTGCTTCATTTTTAACTTAGCAGTTTTACTATAGAGATATCTAGAAGATATAGAAGTTAAAGCCCCAGTTTTATTCAATTTCATTTTTGTCCATTAGTAACCACTTCTTGAAAATGAATATTATCAAATATTGTTGCCTTTTACTCAGATCTAAGAATTCGCAGCACAGCAATTGGCCATAACAATATTATTACATAAAGTATTTTAATTGATGGGAATGGAATTCTCAAAAGGGCTTCCACAATTTTATTACATTTTATTAACTTTTTGTAATTTTCACATTCTTAGGATAACATTGTTCCTATGTTCTGCTTCTTCAGGAAGTTTCTAAATATAGCTCTCTCTTACATTGAGTTTAAGGTACAACTTTCCTGTGATTCATGTGACATGTAAAATCAACATGATTAACAAGGGTCTTCATTCAAAATGATTGATATCACTATTAAAGCTCTAATTGTGACAACTTTCAAACTGTATGCAAATCCTTTTATTAAGACATTTCTTTGGGCCAGTCAGTATCTCTCAGTTCAATTCACCTTTCAGAGTTGTTATGGGGAAAACAGGAAGAGGAAGGAATATTAGGTATGTTCACTGCCTTGAATTACATATAAAATAATAAAGGTGGGATAAAACAAAATCTAAAATAAATAAATCAGAATAAAGGCACTCATAATAGTTATTGTAAAAAAAATGCACAGTAATGCCTCAGGCTTGTTATTACGATACTAAGAAAAATAAATATATATGAGATGTTCTTCATCTGTATTAGATTTAGTAGGTAATATTAAGAACATGGCAAAACAATTTTAGTTTTTCTCTATTCTATATTTTTTTACATTTTCTACATTCAATGGAATCATTCCATTATGTAATATAATGAATTATTTTCCTAAAATTTAAATGCTAAGAAAAGGAGACAGAATAAGACAACTCACATGAAACTCTCAATTTATTATTGGAATGAAACAAATTTTAAAGTGCATAATTTGACTAGGTGTTTCCTTCTTTGTGCTAGAAGAAGTTTGATGCTACACTGACTCTTATAGTTGCTTATGAGTTTATGTAGACTGGAGAAAAAGGAAGTCATAAGCATCTGTACCTCAGCTTGACTAAATGATCAGCCCTTAACTAAAAGTTTCAAAGGCATTAATGTAAAAATATTAGTTGGAGGACGTGAGAAGCTGATATTTTTTATAGAATGTAATAGTTAATTATGGTGGAAATAATAGAAAGGTTATTATCAATGAAGGAGAAGGTTATTATGTTCTTAGATTGTGCAGAGTTCAGTGAAATTATGAAATCTTTGGTACCCAAATAAGAACAGGTTATTGTTGACTCTTTTCTATTGGTGGGTTCCCTACATATGATTAGTCATTGTGGAAATTAGGCTTATATAAATCTTTGGTATGATCCAATATGACTGTTAAGACTGTCCCAAAAGGGCACTTGAAAGTTGATTTGGAAGTAGAAACTGAGAAGCTGTATATAACTGTATGCAATATTTCAATAAATTCCTAAGCAGATAAAGAATGTGTGATCTTGCCCTCTGTGTAATTCTGCTAGAGCAAACTAGAGTGAAGTTATGAATAGGTTAAGAGGAAGATGAATTTTGTTTCATGAACCTAATGCTAAAGTTGCTTTATTAGACAGATAATTCAAAGTAAGGATTGCAAGTTATATAATATTTGATTAGTTATATAATATTATTATAAATAATAAATAATTACGGCTTTGCAGCCTTTATTTATTTGTGAGCTATTGGCCAAAGGTCTATAACTGCCAAATTTAAATCCTGATTTAAATGTATGATATTTAATTATTGTCAATGACATGGAGTATACCACAATTGATATATTGTGGTTGCTCAGAGAATGTCTATATTTCAGAATTTGAAAAGGTATCTGAGAATGTCTATATTTCAGAATTTGAAAAGGTATCTACCCTTTTTGGCATATATGCTTTAAATATTTTTACTTACTGAACAAACAAAAATAACTAATTTTATACCTTATAAATATCTACCAGTGGTATTTTGATCACAAAATACCACTGGTAGAACAAATTTTGACTTTGCCACATTGGTATCCCCAGTTATCCAAAATATTGGCTTGTTTTGTTGGTCACTAGAGAGCAGGGATGTGCAACCTTACTACTAAATTGCAAAGGTAAAACTAAATCAATATGTAAATAAACTCCTGGTAATCAGGGCTTTTTTACCTTAAGTGATAAGATGATGAGGTATTTCCAAGCATGAGAAAATGTGATGTTTTGATTATAATTGTAATTTTAAACATTTCAAAGTCCTGAACCTGCTTTGATACTTAAGCCCTTGATAATGAACAAAAAAGGCTTCCAAAAACATTCAGTTTGATCTCAAGTGCTAAATACCAATTATTTCCTTCTAACTATATGTGAGAAATATCAGTGTAAAAGGAACTTTTCCCTTTGGAAAGAATCTTGTTTGAGTATACTTGGAAGAGTTGTGAACAATATGTGCACCAAATAACACCTGTGAAGTTTAATTAACTGATAGGTTACTGAAATCCTTTCCATACATTTTAGTATCTATTATATAAAATATAATATATTTTAATAACAATCGTGCTAACTACTACCTTAATTTGATTGTTGATTTTCTCAGCCCTCCTTCAGTCAAATGCAATACTTTTATGGTTATTATATAAATATCATATTAGTTCAATATCATTCATTTTATGGCATTAAAATAGTGTTTGTTTTCTTAAAGATGCCAGTGGTATATCAAGGCAAAAATGAAGTCTGAAGAAAAACGAAGAAATAATTTGCAAAATGGAAACTGTAAGCAAACCTAAATGAATTTTTAAAAAATATTTAAATCAGTTTCACCGCTGTAATTTTAACTTGTGTTTATTTTGCATATCAAGCTGATAAAGCCAATTTATGTACTAGCTAAAATTATCTTTTACACCTTTGTCCATCTGAATGTCAAACTTTTTGCAGGAAAAAAGTTATTTATTTCAAAACTGAGGAAGATTCATGACTCCTACAAAATGTTTTTTTTGCAAATCTGAAATGAGTAAAACAAGCACTACATCATAAACCAAAATAACAAAATCGCAAACAACTTCTACACATTCTTAGGTATTTTTTTAAAAAATTAGCATTTATTCTAGTTTATTAGGGGGAAAATAATTCTGTTCACCTTTGAAGTGTGCAAAATAAATACTACTCATTAGCATTTAGATGTTTACAAGAATTTCCACCTGCTGCTTGTTATGATTTTCTCCAAACTCTAATTTCTGCCTGTTCAAAATTATAGCATCCTTTTCTCTCTTTTTTTAAAAAAAAAAAATGTTTATCTTACTTTAGTTATTTCTATAGTTTTCTTTCCACAATTCATCAATATTTTAAAACCAATATCAGCATAATCTGAATTAACAGTTTAGGGCAGGGGTGTTAAACTTCTGGCCCATGGGCCGGATGCATCATGCCGAAACCGTGCACAACCCATTGCAGGCAATGGAAAAAAAGTTGTGATACATCGCAACATGTCATCTGATATTGCGAGTTTGACACCCCTGGTTTAGGGTATGTGTCTACTTGTGCTATATGTAATAATTATACTGATACCTCTGTGCTCTCTCCTAGAAAGTCTAAGTAAAATAACATGAGGTTGGGGGCCAAAATAAAAGCCATCTAAATATTTGCTGTAATCCAAAACATAAAGCAGTAGAGCTATTAAAATATGGAAGACAGTACAGTTTAAATATACAGCTTGGTTAAGTATCAGGTCAATATTCAGTAATCCAAATGAGTCACTTTAGTTAGACAAGGCAAGTAAGTAACTAAGTACTATAAAACAAGGAAAACTTTTATATTAGTATTTTCAAGTCTTTCTTCTAGATGGGCTTCATTAATTTTATTCATCCTGGAGGACTAATCCATACTTTCATGGCATGCTTACCTTAAGTTTGTACTTCAGTAATCTTCTGCATTTAACTTTCCTCTCCAGACATTGTGCTACAAAATCTGGGCAGAAATCTGAAAAAAGTAAGGCTTTTAAACTCCTAGGCTTAAGAGGACTGGATCAGGGGATTCAATAGCCACCAGGACCAGACTTAGTTTTTCTTTTTGCTTAGGAACAAATTATCTGTAGAAGCCATTATATCGAAGCTAACCAATAGAACAGTGAGATGGAATAAAATAGAAACATAAATTTATCAAGTAAAGAAGAATAATGTTACATTATTAAAAGAGTAAGGAGAATAAGTACAGTGTTAAAATTCATGTATAGAAACAAAACAGTTGAAATCATTAAAAATCCTGAAAATCAAGTGACTACTAAGGAGCCATTTTGCTCTGAAGATAGACAGAGGAGTAGGCTGATTATTTTACCTATCATTCATTAGTTTCCCAATATTTCCCATCTGTTTACTCTTTTGAAAATATATTGGCCATGGTCAGTGCACTGATGAAATATCTTCCTCTGAGAAAAAAGATAGCTTGACAGAATGTATGATTAAAGAATTCAGTATAAAAATAGAAGGCAATAGAATAAGTTTAAACATCAGTTATCCTGTGACAATCATGAAAGAAAGCCACATCTAAAAATAACATTTTTGACTTGCAGTGCTTTATAATACATCATTTTAATAACGTTAAAGGGGGAAAATGCAGAATAAATAAACATGTACTGTACATCATAAAGGGAATAATTCCTTATTTCAGTAGAAGAGAATATTTGTAGCTCAGAGTGAAACTATGAAGTCCTTGGTGCTCTCTGAGTTTGGCAGTTTTCTTGCAAATGTTTCTTGTAAACAATAGCCTAATCAAGGAACCATCAAGACCATTTCCACCAACACTGACAGGCAAGCCACTTATATATAAAATGAGATCAAACCCAACTCTCTTCTTACACTGATGATGTTACCAAGTTTGGTAACGAAATGTCTGCAAGAAAACTAATCTCAGAAAGCACCAATGACTTCACAATTCCTTGTTTTTCTGAGGGGGCAAGAAAAGTTCTGCTTTAGTGCTGTTGATTACAAAATTAGAATGACAATTGATCATATACCTATAACTGCCTCCTTCATTCTTCTTCACCAACTAGGGCCAGACCACACAATAATTTGGAAACTTTCTTCCATGAATATATCTTAAAGCAGGGGTGTCAAACTCTCAACGTCTCGTGACGTGTTGTAATGTATCGTGACTTTTTCCCCATTGCCAGAGCTGGGGTTGGTGCAGTTTCGGCATGATGCATCCGGTCCAAGGGCCAGCAGTTTGACACCCCTGTCTTAAAGGAAATGAAAATTAAACATTTATCCTTGAATGCCATATTACTGTATTTAGATTGGAGAAACCCATGATGCCATCTAATCATCTTCACCTCAACCCTCCTTTATTAAAGAGGTAAAAAAAGAAGCTAATTTTCTCTCCTTTCTTGGCCCTATTATAATTGTATTCATTCGCATACTTGCTAATATATAAAGCGGCTATTACCTTTTTCCATCTGCAGCCTTTTCACAGCCAGTTTGGAATGAGTGTTAATTAAACAATAATGAGTAACAGCTTAGAATAACAAAGCAGCTTAGAAGACGAATAAGTATTACATTTCATTATGGTTATTAGTATTCCTTAATGATCTCATTTGTTTTATTTTAATTTAAATGCTACAATCATTTCTATATAATGCAAAAGATACATTTCTGGTTTTACAGTACGACTACCAGGAACCAAAACATATATTGATCCAGATACTTATGAAGATCCATCCCTAGCTGTTCATGAGTTTGCAAAGGAGATAGATCCAACAAGAATTCGTATTGAGAGAGTTATTGGGGCAGGTAAAAAATAATCAAATTTTCCCATGATTAATAAGTGCACTTTAATATAGTGGTAATATGACCATGTTAATCAATATTAACATGTTGTCATTTCAGTCCTGATCAGCAAAATTTCTGTTTATCTTCTGATTGCTGTTGAGAAATATGTTATATATTGTTTGTGTGTATATTATTTTATATGTTATAGTTTTAGGTGGGAATGCATATGGGAATGACTCCCTCTGTTTAGATCTATTCAGATGACATCTTGGCCACATTATGTATAATCTTATATGTCTGCAATATAATATTAGATTAGATTAAACCAGACAAGATTATTATGGTTTTGTATCACTGTACTCATAATGAAAGAACTAGCCTAAAATCAGTTATAATCACTGAAAAGAAATTACGTAAATAGAATCTCTTTTGATACTTTGAACATTGCTTTGGGTAATAAATGTGTGGCTTGGTCTATTATCCTGTGCTTTCATTTGTAAACTAATTGAGTTTACTAATCAGGAATTGTGGGGGAAATGCATTTTTTTGTAAATAACTTACATGCATAAGTATGTATGCTTTTATTTATTTATTATTATTTTGCCAGAATATTTTCATATATTTATTCACATATTTAAAATATTAGAAGATAGTAAATGGTTATAATTATATATTTTGCTGTTAGGTGAATTTGGAGAAGTCTGCAGTGGTCGCCTAAAAACACCTGGGAAAAGAGAGATTCCTGTAGCCATTAAAACTTTGAAAGGTGGACATGTGGAAAGGCAGAGATGGGATTTCCTACGAGAAGCTAGTATCATGGGACAATTTGATCATCCAAATATTATTCGCCTTGAAGGAGTTGTCACAAAGAGTAAGTTCTTTAGGAAGTATTATCTGTTGTTTTCTTTCTTTACCCACACCACTCCTTTACCTAAAGATGCTGGTGTATATATATATATAGGTAAGCAGTATTGTATCTAAAAGTGCATGTTTATGTATTCTTTAATGTAGGCCTAGGTATGTCACTGAAACCATATGTATAATGTTAAACATTTGTGTGCAAATATGTACTTTCAGATCTATCCACAGTTCTTTTGCTTATTTATATGATTCACATTCAAAATCAGTATTATGGATAAAGTGAATAATCAATGTACATTTATACTATTTATCATCACATAGTTACATTGAAATCAACATAATTCATGCCACCACAACTGTTTTAATACATAGTGAATAATGCAAAAATGTTATTTGAACTTTACCGGAGATATAACAAAAATTTGAGAGTAAATATATTCATATTTGGAAAAGCATACTGAATTTTTGAGGAATTGTGAATTTACAAAACGAAATTAAACCAAAGTTTGACTAATCTGCTTTTCCTCAAGTGGGGATAACCTGTCTCTCTGTGTTGTCTATTATATCTTTCTATCTTTCCTTATTTTTCTTATACCCTTAGGTTGCCATGTTTCTGGCAAGATATTTGTCCCAACCACTTGTTTTTTAAAGTAGGTTTAAGAAGTTAGGCTGCACAATCATTTAGATTTTTATATATTAGTTATGATTCAAATTAAACTGTGAATGAATTCATAAATTAAAAATTACATATCTGCAATTGCAATATTCTTGGAAGAATAAAAATATTACATGGTCAAAGCAAAGGGAAATTTTTGGATATGCCCGTATCTACAGTTATTCCATATGGTGCATATACTATATCTGAGAAAAGCAATCTACTTATTTAATTTATTTTTAAGCTCATATTAAGACTACCTATCATCACCTCATCAAATTTGTAATGCTTACTTATGTTAGTTACTATTTTAAATTTGACTTGAGCATTCTGAAAATCCATGTGCTGACAAGATGAGAAATGTGCTGATATTACTGCAATGATTAAATCTTTTTTTAACTTTTGAATTTATTTCTTGATTGCATAAAAGTCAAAATAAGAACAAAAACAAAATAGAACCAAACTTAATGAGTAGTAACAAGTTACTGAGCCTTTCTGCACTAGCAATTTAAAGCATCAAGCAGTTAAATATTGTTGTAACAATATATCTTCACTGAAGCAGGATATGTGTTGCTACAGCAATGGCTGGATGATGCTGTAAATCCTTAGAGCAGGGGTCCCGAACCTATAGTCTGTGCCGATACTGGGCCGTGGCCTGTTGGCCACCGGGCCCAGGAATAGCTGGAGAGCCCTGCCCCATTCGCAGTAGCACCGCCACACGGGCACTAGCAGTCCCATTTGCGCATACACGGGGATGCTAACACCATTGCCAGCATAATGTGGGTGCACTGGGTCCATCTGTGCATGCATGTGGGCACCAGCGGGTGCACTATGAGGGCGCATGGCACCCTTATGCATGTGCACACATGCTAGTGTGGGCATCATACACACACCCGTTTGCACATACGGGCGTGTGCTGCGCATGTGCACATTTCCCTGCTGCTCCCTTTCATTCCAGGCCGCCAAGCCAGAAAGGTTGAGGAACTCTGCCTTAGAGTTCAAATGTTCCATAATTAACTATCCTAAATTACAATCTCATACTGATCATAAAGGTTGTTGGCATTGAGTTTATTTTCTTAAATTTTCTTTTACAACTTAGAAGGTAATAAAACTGACAATCAAGTAGCTTCACTCAGAGGAATGTTGTCAACTGATCAGTTTTAAAAGAATAAATAATCTGGGTAGTAATTATTTTGACAATAAATCACTCAATATGAGTCTAAGGTACTTCAAGAGATTCCTACAGCAAATCTTTCTACACCCTTAAAACACTCATTACATACAGAAAATGTTTCTTTCCAACCAGCAATTTTGGATGGCAACATCACAAGGACTATATATTATTTCTTGATCTTCTATTCTTAATTTTTTGCTGCAATTGCAGGAAATTAGCATGCAATTATGGAATAGTGTGTCTGAGCTAAGATCAATGTCTTTTAGTAATTGTATAATTTCAGTACTGGTTTTAGGTAATTATTTGTTGGGTTCATTCTGAACAATAACAAATAACATACTTAACTTGCTCTTTGTTCTAATACAAGAGAGCTTTGAGTAGACTTTAGGATCATGATCTTAAATTCAGTGCAGTGTTTTTATACTCTCAAGAGAAGAATAGCAAAGAGTTTTTGTGAACAAGTCTGCTTACATATTTACATATTATAAATAGAAAGCAGCTTTCAGTATGAATAAGGCTGAGCCCAAGGCAGAATCAGTATAGATTCTAGAAGCTTAACAGTTCCCTTCAGGCTGCTTTTCCCCAACTTCTACCTCTGTCTCAGGAGAATCATATCCTCCCTTAGGACTCTCTCTGGAGCAAAAAGTTTGTTGGTTTTTCATTTTAAAGTATCTTATAGCAATGTGTCTAGCCTTCCAAACAAGTTTGAAGGTCCATACCATTAATAAAATTTCCATCTAATCCATTTCAATCACTTTCACTCATGGATGGAAAGTACTAAAAATAGTCAGCTCAGACATTTATCCATGGTTAAAAGAATTTTTTTTAATTACGCAGATCATAATAGCATGTTTAGAATTAAGGTTCTAACACAATTTTGTACTTATATACTTCTAAGAACCTAATTTCCATGTAACTATGTTTAGGGTTGACTTTAGAGATAAACCAATTTGACTTTAGAGATAAACCAATTTGTGTTCTAAGGTGTACCAGAAGTAGGGAGCATTTTATTGGTGAACCCTATTTGTATATTGTTTATTGTTATGCCATTATAAACCTAAAAGGACTGGAAAGCTTAGCCCCATGGTGGCGAACCTATGGCACGGGTGCCAGAGGTGGCATGCAGAGCTCTCTCTGTGGGCACGCGCGCTGTCGCCCCAGTCCTAAGCCATCAGCTGGATTTTATAAAACCTTTTCATTTTAGGCTTCCACCGCAGTGTGCAAAAAAAAAAAAGGTTCAATCAATCAGTCAATTTCAACTTCTCACAGGAAAAAAAATCTGGCAAAGTTGGAATTGATTGATTAAAGTTTTTAGTCCCACCCAGTCTGCCATTACCACTGCAGCCACATCCAGCCAATGGGCCACGCCCAGCCAATGGGCCACAACCACCCGGTACCCAACAATGCATAAATGAGTTTTGGGTTGCAGTTTGGGCACTCGGTCTCTGAAAGGTTCGCCATCACTGGCTTAGCCATTAGGTTAGTCAGCTAGAATTTTTATTCATTGATTGGTGATACTTGATTTTTACTAATCAGAATTAGTTTAAAAAGCAGATTTATTTCTGCTTTTCATGTTTAAATAGTACATAAATATACCAGACCCTAATACAAACATGTTAGAATTGGGTATGTCTAGTTTAACGAAGAGAAGGACAAGGGGGGACATGATAGCAGTATTCCAATATCTCAGGGGCTGCCATAAAGAAGAGGGAATTAAGCTATTTTCCAAAGCACCTGAAGGCAGGACAAGAAGCAACGGGTGGAAACTAATCAAGGAGAGAAGCAACCTAGAACTAAGGAGAAACTTCCTGACAGTGAGAACAATTAATCAGTGGAACAGCTTGCCTCCAGAAGCAGTAAATGCTCCAACACTGGAAGTTTTTAAGAAGAGACTGGACAGCCATTTGTCCGAAATGGTGTAGGGTTTCCTGCCCGAGCAGGGGGTTGGACTAGATGACCTCCAAGGTCCCTTCCAACTTTACTACTATTACTATTACTAAATACATATTACACATACAAATACACATATGAAAACTCTCATTTTCTCCTTCTTAAACAGAAGAAAGCAAAAATGAGAATTTCATAGACATATTTTGTAGTGCTACTGAATAATATGCTTCCAAGTAAATTATATTTTTATCCACTTATTTTTCTATTCTGTTGTAATATTCACTGAATATCAAAATACAGAACTACAAAAACAAATTTTAAATATTTTAAATTTTAAAAATCTAAACATTTCTAAAACATAATTTATTTCTTAATTGTTATAAAAAACTACAATTACAGCATAGAAAATATTCTTGCATTTGCTTATTATCCTGCCAATATTTTATATTAGTGAATATTTTTTCAGCTTGACTATGTCTAATAAACTTTAATGAAAAAACTTTTAATAAGACTTATTTTTTATTTTGTAGTTATATATGTGTATGTATCTAATGGTATTTTGTTATAGTATTAATAGGGATATTAAAATTATAAATTGCATGACCTTTCTAGAATTATAGTTTTCATCTATGTTAAGAATTATATTCTGTGATATAGCTCAAAAAATTCTAAGCAGAATTTTAAGTATTAAATGAAAAATTTAAACTGAATATATTAATTAAAAGGAGCTAATCAGTTTAAGGGCTATTGCCTGCCAAATAAGAAGTTTGATTTGAGAATCACTTGAAATATAAAAGTTTAAATTGGCTTTCTGGAAACACTACAGACTGAAGAAATACTGAGCTGAGATATAGTTATGAGGCAATTATCAGATAGAATCTGATACTGAACCCTAAGACATATACATTATAAGTGGTTAATAAATCATTGTCTGATAGTGAAAAACTTAGCAAATTTACAGTATATAGGCAGATACCTTCCCCTGGTTAGCCATTAATTATTAAGTTGCATCACTAGCTTATATACTGCTTCAGTTAGTAAGAAAAGTTATCCATCATAATGTTTTAATTTATTGGCCTTAAAAACAAAGACCAAATTAATTGAGTGCAATAGATTTTAGAATTCTGCCCACTCATTAATTACTGCTCAATAAGATAAAAAGTGGGGGGGGGGTGTTGTGTGGTAAAATTACTTTGGATTTTTTAAAAAAATAATATTAAGAAAAGACATAAGCAGACTATGGTGCAAGGTATTGAAATAACATTCTGGTGCTACATTGAATGGGGAGAAG